ATACCTCTAAAATAACATTACCTGCCCGGTAACAAAGAAAAAGAAATAAAAGATGATTCCAATTATTTTTTTTTTCATCATTAGTAATTTGCTAAAAATAAATAGTAGTGTGGTGAGTGAAAGCTGTGTGATACACCGCACCATATCTTCAATGACTCTGAAACACGAGTCTTTTAGACAATGAAAGCGTTTGGGTTGATTTCAATCTAGTGTTTCTCCTTAAAATTATTCCACGACGTCTTTGGAATTTGGGTACCTAATAAGTATTCTGTGTCTGAAGAATATGTTTGTTGTATAAGTCGAAAGACAAATAATGTATGGTGATATGTGTTGATTTTTCATTTGGGAGAAGGGAAAGTTAAAACTTCAACTTTAATTATTGAATCGTGGAATTAAATTGTATCAGTTTTTGATAAAAATAAACTAAAATAAATTTTTATGGAGGTAAATAGAAGACTTCCTAGCTAGAAAAATGAAAACTTTCGTATTGTGGCTCTCATGTTCGAAACCAACGATATGGATAAGTTAAAATAAAAATATTCCAACTATATTAAAAAATATTTCTTTGTAAAATAGGTTCGACATCAACAACCTTAACATTTAATTAGCTTGATTAGACTCTTGCAACCGAAACTTATTTACGAATGCAGTCATACTCACCGAAGAATATTGTGAAATGCAAGTGGAAATCTAAGGTTCATAATGACTAAAATAAATAGTGTAAATCGCACCATGTTTGACAAATATATTAATATCGATTTTGAAAACGTATAGATTTTTTGCTAAACTTAAATCAAGTACAGATTCCTAGTAAATTAATATTCTAGACCTGCCTTCATTTCAACCAAGGCTGATTAGATATACGATCTTGAATTCAAGATTCACATTACCGATTGTCCGGGTATACCTCCATGCATCTTAAATATAAAAAAAAAAAAAAAAATCAAGGTGGAAATTTTACTTTTAATCAGCGGTGGACCCAAAAGGAGAGAAAATATCACCTTTTCGCAACCTACAACATTTTTATCAAAACGAAAATTCTCAGAAATTGTGCGTTTTCATATTAAATTAATTCATTCAAAATTAATCATGTACTAAAAACTCATGAACACCCATTTACTTTGCACTCGAATCGTAAGATGATTTGATCACGAAATCAAGAACAAAAAAATCTGGTGGGCGCAACACTCAACTTTCACTTACCGGTTTACTTTGACTAGAAATTATTTTCTAGCAATGTTGGGCTACTATAAAATTTTTGAAGTGCATTTTAAACGGAGCTAAAGCTTAAATCTTACAGATAAGAAATCATTAAGACCATTAAAATTACAAAAAATTTATTTATTACATCGATGGTAGACATCAATGGTATGGTAGACAAATCTGGTTACTCCATCTGCTTTTATAAACCACACAACTTCAGTTTCTGGGCCTTTCAATTGACAGAATGACTAAATCCAATTTCAACATTTTTGAGTAATACCATTTTAGTGATATTTCTATTTAGAGAAGTTATATCTATACAGACAGTGAGTTAATTGATTACAGAGTAGATAATTGCAGTGTTGAAATATAGAACTGTGAATAAAGGTGTAAATTTTGCCACTAGAAACATCACTAAAATTAATAATATACAATGTTTAAATTGCAGTTAGTCATTCAACCGAAAGGCTCATATATGCCTAGAGAGATTAGAAAGGATTGTATTGTAAATATTTAACCTATAAATGATTATGGATCGTAGGACTATTAGTTATTAAACTGTTATTTTCCATTGTAAAGTTTACTAAAATGAAATTATAATATTTTCATTGCCTGCCATGGTTAGATCAAAATTTATCACACTAATTGTAAGGGGATAATGTTAGGATTTCACAAAGGGTAAATTCATCAAATTATTCACTAATTTAATTGCCTAAAAGATTACTTGATGATTTGTTGGAATAAACGGCCAATAGATACCTAATTATTTAAATATAATATCACATCTAGAGTTATTAAACTGCAGTTAATGTTTTTGAGGTTATAAACATATCCATGAAATATTTTTATTCTTTCACACAAGTACAAAGAAATTGTATTTTAAATAATAGCATCGGCTTGATTCGGTGGATTTTAAATACTTTTTTTAAACTTAAAAACACTTTAAAAGTTTACATTTAGTAAGAAAATTTCATGTAATTTCATTGAAAACATGTGATGTACGTTATATAATGCTAATTTTCTGAAATTATTACTTATATTTCTTTCGTCGCTCTGCGTTACCTTCTACAACTTTATTTATTTAATATTATTTTTTCTAAAATTCTCCGGTTTCCAATGATATATTATACGTATACCTTCTGACTGTTATTACCGAAGATTCATTTTCAACATGGATAAGCATTTTTCTTTTTTTCTCCAGTTTCCAATTATCAAATTCTTTCAAATTTGATATTTCAAACTTCATATTTAGACATTTTTTATAGTTACTATAAATAAAAGAGAGTTTTTTTTTTTTTTAAATAAACCATATTAAAGGTACTTTAGAGGAAGACGCATATGAACATTGGGCATTTAAAACCTGTAAAATGACATCGATGGGGATAAGACCTGAATGATATTAAAGACCACTTAATTGTACAATGATACACTGAGTTTAATCAAGATCGTTGGAGCCGTTTTTGAGAAAATTGTAAAAATGTGTTTCACAGTTCATATAAAGTGGCACTTCTGGTTAGCCGATTTTAAGAGAAAAGTTGATAGGACATTTAAGGCATGTACCTATCTGAAATATGTAATATCATTTTCGTGCGACTTTAAGTTTTTGAGCTAGACACATACACACATCATTTTGCGGGACTCAGCTGACCACAAAATGTGTATTTCCGTTGAAAACTAATATTTGAACATTTTCACGACCGCAATTCTTTCCTTTAGTATATAGTTCATATATAGATGAGTGAAAGTAAAAAAAGGGTTGACTACAAAAATATTGGGCAGTTTGGCGTGATCTCCACCCCCAACATGTTAAAATTATTATATTATAACATGGAAGTTATATAGGCCAGGTGGCCCAATATTTTGGTATGTCACTTTTTTTCTCGATTTTGTGATCAAATTATCTTACGATTCGAGTAGAAAGAAAATGTGTATCCACGAGTTTTAGTATCCAATTAAATTAATTAATTTTATGACAAATGCCCAATTTCTTAGAATTTTTGTAGATAAAAAGCTTTTAAGTTTACGATGAGATGAAGCTATTCACGAAGTTTCAGGCGGATGTTAATAATTTGATGAAAAAAAGTCCTTACCATGGACTATTTTATGAAGTTAACAAGTTAAAATTGGAATGTTTTAATGCTCTATGGCTGATTATAATCGTTGAAAATCATACTTGAAAATGGCTCACGTAGCCGAAATGTTGACAACAATAAAAGTACTGTAAAGAAAACGAAATTTTGTGACCGTTGGCCAAAAAAGAAAATTAAAGAATCGATTAATAATATTATGTAATGCGTTTTTTTATTATTAATTATATATTTTTTTTAAATTAATTATTGGTCTTGCCGAATCCTTTGTTTAACCAGCCCTAATGAAGGTCTGATCTTTGGTCCGGAACGTCGGCAAAAATAATAATAAATAGAGTTTAATTTTATTATTATTTTTTTGCTGATCTCCACAATCATTCTTCTCTTCTATTATTTTATTTATTTTTCTATTTTTTTTTTCACAATGATTATAAATTAATATAATAATAAAAAATGTTTTTATTAATATTAATAATTATAAATATTTTTTTAATTTTTATTTTCCAGGGACAATAAATTAATATAATAATAAAAAAGTCGTTTTATTATCAATAATAAATATTTTTTTTATAATTCTATTTTTTTAAATAAATAAAAGTACTCACTTTAGAGGTCTGGATTTGAAAATATTAATTTGAATAACTTGGATTTAATTGGACGTCGGCAAAAATAATAATAATTATACTTATTTATTTTTACTATTTTTTTTTTTTTCCTAACCATCCTAACCATTCTTCTTTTCAGTTATTCTATTCGTTTTTTTTATTTCACAATGACTATAAATTAATATAATAATAAAAAATGTTTTATTATTAATTATTAATATTATTTTTAAATTTTTCTATTTTCTATTTTCAGTGAGAATAAATTAATATAATAATAAAAAAAATCGTTTTATTATGAATGATAAATATTTTTTATATTTCTGTTTTTTTTTAAATAAATAAAAGTACTCAATTTAAATGTCTGGATTTGAAAATATTGATTTGAATCACTTGGATTTAATTGGACGTCGGCAAAAATAATAATAAATGTAGTTGTTTATTTTTACTTTTTTTTTTTTTTTTACTGATCACCGCAACCATTCTTCTTTTCAATTATTTTATTCATTTTTTTATTTCACAATGTCTATAAATTAATATGAAAATAAAAAAATGTTTTTATTATTAATTATGAATATTTTTTTTATTTTTCTATTTCTTATTTTCCAATGACGATAAATTAATATAATAATAAAAAAAAAATCGTTTTTATTAATAATATTTTTTTTTTATAATTCTATGTTTTAAACAAATAAAAGTAGTCACTTTAAAGGTCTGGATTAGAAAATATTAATTTGAATCACTTGGATTTAATTGGACGTCGAAAAAAATAATAATAAATATAGTTATTTATTTTTACTATATTTTTTTTTACCGACCACCCCAACCATTCTTCTTTTCAATTATTTTATTCATTTTTTTATTTCACAATGACTATAAATTAACATAATAATAAAAAAAAATGTTTTATTATTAACTATGAATATTTTTTCAATTTTTCTATTTTTTATTTTCCAGTGACGATAAATTAAAACAATAATAAAAAATAAAAAAATAAAATATATATATATATATATATATATATATATATATATATATATATATATATATATATATATATATATATATATAGTAATATATATTTTTTTAAATAAATAAAAGTACTCACTTAAATATCCTGGATATAAAAATATTAATTTAAAAATCACTTGGATAGACAGCGAACTAGATTCACACCTCTGAAGAACCTCCCAGCAAGGAACACAAACCACGACTAAACAAGTTCCAGCCTCCAACAAGCCCCCCACGCTTCCATCTTCCGCTTCGTGCCTCGATCTCATTTCATGAATATTTCATTTATTTTCAAAAATGCTAATCTTTTTATATATGTTAATGTTGAATAAATCTGATTTCATGACATCTTAATATATGCAGATGCGTTTCTCATTTGAGCTGACCTGAATGCATTAGAATTAACAAGAACTTTTTGTATTATCTGTACAATTTGTATGATGTGTACAATTTTACAATTTTTTATTCATTGATATTTACAACTGTATTATAAAAAAATACAACTAGTAAATGCGCACACAGCAATAATACAATCACATGAAAACGCTTGTTAAGAAACTACCAATTGGTAGCACTCTAATAATATATTCACATAAGCAGATCACGAGGCCATCTTATTTTTTTTTCTTTTTCGGCTTTAAGATTTGTAAAAGAAAGTCCTATTTTGCCAGTAAAATATTTTAATTGTCATAGTAAGATGAAATTACACTGGATTTATATTAATTATTTATAGTTTGATGATCACTGAAAGTAACTTATATGGAACTTGGATCCTTGATATTATATTATTAGATATTAGATATTAGATATTATGGAAATTAGAATGATTAATAGTTAAAAACTGATATGAATTAGAGTTAAATGAAAATAAGAGGCAATTTTTATTATATGACTGCTTTTATTTTCATTCAAAAACTTTATCAAGTCACGGGCGTTATCATTATTCATCGACTGAAAGTTAGCTACTTCATCCGTAGTTTGCGATCCTAAACTAATTCTTCTTCGCTTCTAGAATCTTTTGCACTTTTCAGACGCCTCGGAGGGTTATCAGGGATCGAGGAGGAAGCGAGGTTTGAAAGGAGAGGGTTCGGATGGTTCTGGAGTTTGTTATGGAAGGATAGGTATCTGGATTGATACAAATCGGAAATTTACAATTTAATACAGTATTTAACTGATGCAAAAATATTTGCAGTTAAAAGTCCGTGGTACAGACCTCCTTTTAGCAAATTATTAACATACTTCATTAAGAAACTTCGTAAATAGCTTCATCTCATCGAAATCTACAAATACTTCATTTACAGGAATTCTCGGAATTGGGGCGTTTTCAATCTGCAGGTCGGCAAACTTTGTTTATTTAATTACGGAATAAAAACTTATAAATACACATGAATCGTAAGATAACTTTCACACAAAGTTGGGAAAAAAGGTGGCCTTCAAAAATATTGTGTCATTTGGCGTAACCTACACCCAAAAATGATCAAAATAACGAGGTTATATCAGCCAAACGGCCCAATATTTTTGTTGGCCACCTTTTTTACAGATTTTGTGATCAAATTATTTTAATTAAATAGACAAAGTTTGCCGACCTCCAGATTGAAAACGCCCCAAATCTGAAAATTTTCGTAAATAAAATATTTGTAGATTAACGATCTGATGAAACTATTTACGAAGTTTCAGGCGGATATTAATGATTTGATAAAAAGGGGTCTGTACCACGGACTATATATGAGCAAGTCTATACAGCATAAAGAATCGCTGAAACTTTATGCAAACATTGCCTACTTTATTAGTAGTAAGTGATTTATTTAAAAAAAAAAAAAATTCAAAAATCAAAAAAAAATTTATAATGTTTTATTTTTTATTTTAACTAGTTGCGAATAATTCGCAAAAAATTTTGTTTAGTGAAGAAATAGCAAAACAATATGGAAATAAGTAGTTCCTATTTATTATGTAAGGAAGGAATTAATATTTTTCCCTTGGTCGATAACAATATTCCATTAAACATAATAGACAAAAATATTTGTACAAATTGCTTTGCTAAGAACTATTTTTAAACGCTGACTGGAAAGATAATAAAAGTAATAAAGACAAAATAAAGCCTCGATCATGGGATTTTCTAAATTATTAAAAAATATAAAATGTAAGAGCAAACAAATGTCTTTAAGAAATAATACAGTTAATATATCAGCCAGAAAAAAAAAGTGTAGTAGACTATTCTACTCCTAAATACAATATCTTTAAACAGGAAGACATTTTTAAGTATAACAAAACTAATGGACTGTATCTTTGTTAATAATTGTTCGATTTTTTGTTTGGTTTTGTAGGTAATTTAGTAATCTTTCTAATGATTATGACTACAATCAAGAAAAAATGCATACTTTTTGAGTTATTCCCAAATTAAGTTTATTTTCCTTTATTCCCAAAATCTTCGGGGGGGGGGGGGATGGGATTATTTTTCGCATGTAAAGGAGAAGAATATCTTCAAAATGAGTGGTCAATCATTGGATTTGATGAAGAATTTACGAAGTTAAGGCGTACCGACAAAAAAACACCTTTTAGAAATAATATATAGGATGTTTTACGAAGTCGTTCCATGACTGGTAATTTTTGTAATTATTTCCCACCATTTCTAATACCAAATTAATAAGTATTTTTTTTAATTTGAGTTCACAATTTTATTTCTTGACTTATTGCAGGATTACAAAGCTTTCCTAGCGGATCCAGGATTTAGTTTTTTCTTGGGAGGGGCGGCTTCAGCCAGAAATATTTTTTTAAAAAAATAATTATCGATAATTACGTAGTAAGAAATAGAAGGGAACTAACTACCAATATGAAATAGAGTTTAAGTGATTCTTTAAGTACTATTAAATGTAATTACACGAACAATCATACTTTTAGAGATAATTATTAATTTTTTTTTTAAGACATGGTTCTATTTTACCATTCGGAAGGGAAGGAGTCTTCAGTCCGAAATTCTCCTCCCCATAGATCCATCCATGGGTAGAAATAAATAAAATAGTGAGGAATAAATAAATTTTAAAACAACATTTTGGAGTCAGGTTTTGCAATTGCGTGAAGATATATAATCATACATATTTTTTAACCATGCCTATAAGACTTTTATGTTTTTACGTATGTAGTTTTCGAATAACTACATAAATAAAATTAGAAAAAAAAATAATCAAAAACTTAAATAAGCCAATTTTAAGGCAGATATAGTAAACTATTCCTGTATTGGATATTCACCTAAAGCTTTCGGGAAAGTTCAAGGAGTGGATACACCAGTTTTTTTTTATTTTTTCTTAGCTTTACTTCGCTTCTCTAATTTGTGTAGAATGTGTAGTTGATATTTGAAAAACATGAAGTTATCACTGACAAAAAGAGAAACGTATTCACACTGCAGAATTTCTTAATCCATTGTTTTGTGAGGAAAACACGTTTCTCAAACATTGGCCAATATCCTTGCACATATTGCCAATACTGAGTATCACTACGGTGAGGGGGGATTTTCTGGCTGAAGTCCCCTCCCCCCAAATTGGTAAAATATAACCATGTTTTAAGGAAAATATTATCTCTTAAAGTATTATTGTTCGTGTAATTACATTTAAAAGGACTTTAGGAATCACTTAAACACCATTTCATATAGGTAGTTAGTTTCTTCTTTTTTTTTCAAAGTAATTATCGTTATTTTTATAAAAAAAAAAAAAGCTTTCGGGCTGAAGCCCCCCCCCAAAATTAAATCCTGGATCCGCTTGTGCTGACTATAGTCCTTTATATTAAGTTATAATTAAAAAATCTGAAGTCGCATATCGCGTTTATGTAAGTATCATCGCCAGTTCGGAAGAAATACTCAACTTATTCAAATTTTGTCTAATAGTCTGGTTAAGGAAAAAATTTAAAATAAATTGTTTATATACAGTGTTTCCCGTATGTAGAAGGAAATATTTAAAATTGTGATAGTAGATATCAAGATCTACAGAAATATTCAAATAAACAATTGCCCGATTTCCAGCAGAAAAGTAGAAAATGTAAGATTAGTGCTTTTTTAAGAGAGTCACGGTTTTTTGTTGAATAGGAAGCGATAAATAAAAATATATTTAATTTAAGTAATTAACAAGCGCTCCATAGTAAACTAGACAAAATTTACTTCAACCAAAAGTAGAATTTGTCATTGTTAAAACGATTTAGGGCCAGTTGCTCCAACTCAGTAAAGCTTAGATTAAGCTTTATCTTAGATTAAACGAAGTTTTCTAAGGTGGAATGATCAATATTAAACTTGGTTTAATCTTAGATTACGCTTAATCTAAGCATTACTGAGTTAGCCTTTAATGAGCAATATTGAGCGGCTAAACTCAGCTAAGTTCGTTTAAAAATAAATCATAAATTATTAGTGATTTTTTTTTACCACCCTCCAACTATACTACAGTTACTCCATTGTTAGAAAACTTTATCATTTAATAAGCTTTAATAAATAAATTAGTCCATATTAATTAAATTGAGATTTATTAGAAAATATTTTGGGATTGTGTAAAAAAATTATGTGATTTGATATAATTGATAGTTTTTTACTCACTTAAAAAAACACAAAACTTAAATTTCAGAGGAAGGAGATTGTCAGGGGTGGATTTTCCAAATATGACAAGTCACATTGATTCCACCGAATCCAGTTGTCCTGGCATCTTCAATTTTCTTAAAGCTAAATTCCACTCACATAAATCCAAATTTAATACTTTTTGGAACCTCCACAAACAGCTCACTGTAAAAATGGAGCAACAGATTTTCTTTTTAAAATGTAGATTGAATCAAATCTTTCCCAAATGTATCAAGTACTGTTTTAATAATTATCATGTTGCCCGCCCTCATTAAAATCTTATTTAAATCATTCATTATCAAATTTCAAAAAAACTCTGTTAAATTTAAAAATAATAAAGATCAGACAGATTCTCTTAATTCAAAAATTTTCTCCCTCACCACATTTCTTACATCAGTGATTGGCGAACAAAATATTATGAAACTTAAGAACAGGATATCATAAATCTGTTTCTCTGTTAAAACCATTAAAAAACGTTCCCTTCCACCCGGGCCATCTTCTTCCTCTAAACCTCCTTCCATACAACGTTCAACCATTAAGTATTCAAAACTTAAATTGCCTACTCTTTTGCTGGAAATTGAGCAATTATTTAAATGAAATGTTTTGTAGATCTTGATATCTACTATCATCCTTTTAAATCTTTCTCTCTATTTACGGGACACACAGTGTACTGTATTTTTTCTATTTAGCTATGTATACATATACATACAAGTTTATTATCAGTTTATTGTAAAAAGTTAGTAAGTACATTTTTGATAGAGTATAATATGTACATCAAAATAACACAAACTTTTTTATACCAATTACATTAAGTGCACAATGTTCTCGTTTCACTTCGGGAAAATTCTTCGAAATACTTAGTAATTTTATTTAATAAAATGTTACTTTATGTAACTCTGTGCTGAGTTCAGTTGAGACATTCAAGAACTGATCAACTCAATAATTAATTTCCTGAAAATATTCATATGAAATATCTTCCTTCCTCCACCCAAGACATTTCATTGCTCACCTCTTCTTAAAAAAAAAAAAATATTCTTATAAACAGAGAAAATATAATTAGAAAAATGGTCGATAATATACTACTGCACTTCCTGTTCCATGACTTTCCTTGCCTCTTGGTAGGAAACTTTTTATTCTGAAAATTAATAACCCAGTCGAAATGTGCTTTTCTCAAAGATTCTATTGCCAAAATGTGCCCCCCTTAAAATTTTCATAGCGCATTTTGCACCTAATGGCACCACACAGTGAGCTGGTCAGTGAAATCAGTGATTGTTTTATTTATTTAAGATACATGAAGTTAATTTATAAAACGAATCAGGAATGAAGTGATATCATCTATGAATATATACAAAATAAATTTTACTTTCCAAACCCTACTTAATGCTTGAGAGAACTTAGTAGGATCAAAGATAACAGAACAATGCAAGTATCAGTAGTGATCATGAAAGTGTCTTGGACAAATTAAGATATTTGTTCATTCTTTTGTATATATAGTTTTAGCAACATAATTTATCAATGATTTTTCTAAATTAATCAATAATTAATTTTTTTTTTTAACTACTTTATTGAGATATATTACAATCCGTCACATTCAAGGACAATAGTAATAGTGATATAGAGTAGCTCATTCATACCATACAATAAATGATAATTAATTAAACTAGTTAATAAATAATATGTTATTTTAACAAATTGTAGTTGTTTTTTTTTTTGGTAGTTTCTCAATTTATTTTTTGTTTTTTTTACACATATTGACTACATAATATGTGTTGTCAATTCATCTCATATTTGTATAAAAATATTTTCCTAATTAAAATGATATTTTTCCAATCAACTCAAATTATTTTAAAATAAAAAATGAAATAATTTATTTACATTAAGTTCTGTCCAGCAAGATTGTAAAGACAGCCCACTGTGTGCTGGATTTAATCCGGTCTGGATGGATTGAAATTTATTTCATGGATTGAATCTCATCCTCCCATAACTAATTAGAACATCTCCTCATACCAGAAATAATAGCGAGGCAATGTAATAAAAAAAAACTTCCCGGTTTGACTGAAATTTACTTCTCTTTTATGGTATTATTCTATTTAAAAAAACAACCAAATATCATTCTATTGCCAAAATATGCCCCCCTTAAAATTTTCATAGCGCGTTTTGCACCCAGATTTGATTTATTTATTTGATCCAATGGAAATGTCTGTTGGATGAACCCAGATGCAGCAGAGAATAAATACATATACGTCGGAAACCCCATGACAGTTTTCTAAGGGCTATGAAACAGATTTAAAATGTACCCCTACACTCCTCTGATGACCTTCGTTACAAAGCAAAAGTGTTATTTGCTGTACAAATAGAATAATAGAAGGAATAAAGAATGAAAAAATAAAGCAAAGTAATAACATAATATTTATTTTTAAAAAATTACATTTAATAAGTATATTAATTTTCATTTTTTACATGAATATTTAACTATTAAATAATCTCAACTGTAATATTAATGAAAAAATTATAACTTTTATAATTAATTTTAATTTTTAATGGCACATTGGGTTATGTATAACAGTAAATACAGATAAAAATACATATTTTAAACTATATTTCACAATAAAAAATACTCATATCTAGTGTGTAGGAAAGAAAATTATTAGTAAATTGAGCAAGCTTCTTAAAAATTAATATGACTAAAAACCAAAATATTTTCAAATTTAATTTTGTTTTTCAGTCTTATGGAGAATTACACTACAAGCACCATTTTTAGGAAAAATTAATAATTAAATAGTGGGATAATGAATGGTTTATCCCTTACAGGATCTTTTATGAATGAAATTAAGAAAAAAATTATGTTCCTTTGCATGCCACCTTAAACAGTAACATTCCATGGTACGTATTTGTGCTTAGGTTCCGGGAACTGTGAACATAATAAATAAAAAATATTATAGTTTTTTATTTTATATAAAACAAGTATACAATAGTAAATATGATATTACCTTATTTGTGATTTCGTCGACACAAGCCATCCTGATCTTGGCCGCAGTCGCAGGAGAGTCTAGTCTGAAATATCCTTCGAGGCCTGATTCGCTTCTTGCAGCCTTAATGGCGTCTCTTATAGCAAAGAATACGGAAGAAGATAAGAACAACGGAGGCTCACCAACTGCCTATAGATCAATGGAAACATATCTTAACATTATTAATTCATAATATACAGGGTATATATATGTACACCAATAAAAACCAGGAAATTTCAGATTTTTTAACTAACAATTTTTTAATGGTTTCCATGAGAAATTAAAGCAATTATTTATTTATGATATTTACAACTGCAAGAAAAAAATTAACTCAGAAAATGTGATAACAAAAAAAGATAACATGAAAACACTTGTTGAGAAACTACCCACTGGTAATACTCTTAAAAAGTATTTAAAATAGGAGTTCTTGAGGCCATATTCTTTTCAGATGCATCGGAGGGTTATCAGGGATCGAAGAGAAAGCAAGGCTAGAAAGGAGAGGGTTCGGATGTTCTGTTTTATGTAGGCAACAAAACCCTCTATTATTATTTTCTAATCCGAGACAAATTTTCAAATTTCAACAGAATCTTACTTGTCATCCGAATCCTGTAGTACAATCTCTATTTTTTGTAAATGTGGGACTTTGCTCTTTCATCATTATTATCATTGCCGTTCAATGTAATAATATCTATGTTATTTTATAATAACAAGAATTTCTTATTTTATATCTAATCATATTTATTTTTTATTTTCAACATGTTTTGTATCTTTTGTAGCCCTAAAGACGACCTGCAAAGTGGGTTGAAACGTCGGCAAAAATTAAAATAATTACTATATTTTAATTTAGTATTTATTTGACCTCACCCCCCGATTAACTCCTTCTCATATTATATCAACAGTCAACCATCTCTACATCGTAATAATATCTAATTTTTCTTCTTCTAAAAGCATCACCAGATTTCGTGAAAGATCATTTTTTGAAGAGATTGAATCATTTTAATGTAAAAAAAATATATTACATTGCAATAGTTGTGGAAGCTTTAATGATTTACTAGTCAGTGTTTTTGAGAAAAAAATATTAGTGCATTTTTCTCAAATTCATAAAAATATTAAACATATTGTTTTTAAAATAGACAGCTCAATTATAGTAGATAACCCAATTTACTGGGATAATGGATCTTAATCATAGAATAACAGAAAATAAATCTTTTTTTTTAATCACAAACACTCAATAAAATATTGGTAGCACTGTCATATTATTAGACAGTAATTAGAAATTACTATTCTAATTAATACTATATATTCTCATAAATAATAAATATTTTTTCTGTTTATTTATCCTAATTTTGGTGTCTTAAGGTTTATATTTTACAAAAATTAGGCCAATTATCACCAAACATTTTATTGATACACTTTTTAATTAAACATTTCGACCATATTAAGGGTCATTTTCAAGTACGTTAGGTTTACATTACCATCTAGTAAGTCAATAAAGGCACGTTTAAAAGGTTTTCATTGGTCCGTACTGAGCTGATATATTCCTGGGTCACGAGGTAGCGTATCAATAAAATGTTAGGTGATAATTGGCCTAATTTTTGTAAAAAATAAAATCTTAAGACACCAAAATTAGGATAAATAAACAGAAGAAATATAACAGCTGGGAGACCACCTCGTGACCTAGGAATACATCCGGACCAATGGAAACCTTTTAAACGTGCCTTTATTGACTTAATAGATGGTAATGTAAACCTAACGTACTTGAAAATGACCCATAGTATGGTCGAAACGTCCAATTAAATAGCGTATCAATAAAATGTTTGGTGATAATTGGCCTAATTTTTGTAAAAAATAAATATTTCTTCATAACCTAATTATTTAAAGTCACCTTTGAGGAATAGATGGCACGAGGATTAGGAGCACCTTTCAGAAGAGAGACATTGAATTCTGCCGGGATATCTGCGAATCCAGGGATCTTGTACATTCCGGGACCTCTCGAGTACAGCACGCCCTTCGGAGAGTAAATAGACTCTTCGAGAGTGAACAAGCCGTAGCCCTGCACGAAGGCACCTTCGATCTGGCCTATGTCGATCGCGGGGTTCAAGCTTTCTCCCAAGTCCATCACTATTTCGGATTTAAGCACCTGAATAATAATGAAGAGAGAAATAGTCATCTGGTAGTTTCATGTTTAAATAAAATTTAAAAAATGAATTATACGCACTTGATGATCTCCAGTCAAACAATCAATCTCAACTTCAGCACAGGCAGCGCCAAACGTGAAGTAGTTGAAAACCATTCCTGAATTTTTACTCATGTCATAGCCGATATCTGGTGTTCTAGAACCAATTTTCATTTTATCAAATATTATATAGAATCTTTTTTTTTTTATTATTGAAATTTACAACTATATTAAATGATAAATACAACAAGTAAATATGAAACAAGTAACATGAAGAGAAATTATCCATTGGTAGCACTCCAATTATATTTCTAAATTAGAAGGTCCCGAGGCCATCTTCTTGTCAGACACCTCGGAGGATTATCAGGAATAGAAGAGGAAGCAAGGTTGGAAACAAGAGGGTTTGGATGGTTTAGAAGTTTATGATGGACAGATAGGTATCTGGATCGAGCTAAATCAGAAACATATGGTACATTAAGGTCGTTATGGATGATTTTATTTGTGACAAAATAGGGAGCATTGAGGAGACAAAATTTAAACTTGAATTATAAAAAATAACAAATTCCACAACAAAAAAGTTTGTTTTGGATAAAATTGAGAAAATAATATTTTTTTATTAATCTTTAAAATGTCTATTCACACTTAAGTTCATACCTAACAGGTCAGTATGATAAAAATCAAAATTTACTTCTGATAATTATTTATTGTATGTTTCGGGAATCTGTGTCCCCTTCCTCAGCTATCTTAAAAAATATACCAATTTATTTTAGGTTTGATGTAGAAACCAGTCATAGCTAACTAAAATATGCAACACATAAAGCAATATTTAAATAAACATAAATTATTTTACACAAATATATTAAAAAATAAAGTTACATACATTTTATTCTCCCAAAAAAATATTGGGTAAGTCAATATGATGTAAAAAGCTTGGTTTAATGCAATTTGGGTAATATGCAACTAGAAGGATTATGGTAACAAATAGAGTTGTTGGTACGGGGGTTAATGAATTTCAAATCTTCTTTTTTATTCAATGCTTGTTCTTTATGTTTTTTTAATAAAGAAATTTTATTTTATTTCTATTGTATTTTTTACTTTGTAGTGTATTTTTACACTGGTAAAATTAACCTCATGTTTGTAGTTACCCTCTATAAAGGGTATACATAAGGTTAAGGTAAGGTAGATAGCTTATTACATCATATTGACTTACCCAATATTTTTTTGTGAGAATAAAATGTATAACTTTATTTTTTAATATATTTTTGTAAAATAATTTATATTTATTTAAAAGTTGCTTTATGTGTTGTATATTTTAGTTAGTTATGACTGCTTTCTACATTGAACCTAAAATATATTGGTATATTTAGATTGCTAAGGAGGGGAACACAGATTCTCCGAAACGTACAATGAATAATTATCAGGAGTTAATTTTGATCTGACACTGATCTACGAGTCATGAACTTAAGTGTGAATAGACATTTTAAAGATTAATAAAAAATACTATTTCGTAAATTTTATCCAAAACAAATGTTCAATGTTTATAACTATAATAATTATGGCAGCATAAGGCAAAAAAGACAAAAATTTCTTTAGCTATGTCCATCACTGGTTACCGTAAAGGTAACTAAAGCTAAAGCTTACCCTACTGGCTAATACAAAAAATTTCATCAACTCATAATGATCTATTAAAAATTATGAGTAGTATTATATACTTGTAAAAACCACTCGCTGCGAGGGAGATCCTAGCGAAATATGCAGATTTCACCCAATCTTCCCAAGATCCTTTAGGATTTGCTTCTTTTATCGGTTTTAATCTTTCATTGATAATGTCACAAGCAGCCTGAAATGTAAAAAATATAATGTGATAAGAATTGAGGCAAATATTTCATCTAATGTAGATATTTAAAAATTAAAAATGAATTATTTATATTGGCAATACTTACCAGAACAGCCATTCCATTTAAATCAGAACCAGCACTCGCCGCAGTTGGTGAAGTATTTGGCACTTTATCGGTAGATGTTTCCGATATATGGAAGTAACTATCATTGATACCAAGTGCTCTACTAGCAACCTAAACATTTGTCTTTATGAATTATTTGGATTTAAATTAAAAAAGAAGGAAAATCAAAATTGTTTGAATCATTTACTTCTCATAAATTTCACCATAACTATATTTATGTAACATTTCAGCTACAAAACCACCTGTAGGAATATTTAAGAGACTAAAGTTAAATTCAATTATTACATAGTTCAAGAGAGTACCCTACAAAATTATATTATTTACCGAAATACCTTAGCTTTCTTCCAGACAAAAGACTAGCTTTGAACCCACATATGAGACTTAAAAGACAACTGCTTAACCTACGATTTGGTCAGCTATATAGACTACTATACAGAACATCTCATCTCTCAACAGAAAACAAACTATTAATCTACAAGACCATACTTAAACTTATCTGAACCTACGGATTTGACAACTAAATCGTCAATTATCAAATGTATCCAATCCTTCCAGTCTAAAGTCCTTCGAACAATAGTCGATGCTCTATATTATGTCACAAACAAGACCCTACACCATGACCTTAACATCCCATATGTCCTTGATATCATCCCATACAGGATTGATGGTTGACTAGTAAATAATTGAAGAGAAGTTGGCTGGGATCTTCATTAAAAAAATTAATAAATAAACGAATGATATTTATTTTTAAATTTACTGAAAAGACCAAGACAGCATACACCAGATAACAATATGTGAAATTATTAACTACGAAAAAAAAATTAATATTAATATAGATATTTTTTTAAATTAATAGTTTCTCATATCTTTATCTGTTTTTTCTTAGCCCTGATAAACGCCTGAACTTTGGGCCGAAAAGGCAAATATCACTTATTTATTTTTAATTTTTTTTTTTATTGAACACCCCAGCTAACTTCTCTTGAATATATTATTTACCAACAGGTTAATAATACAATAATTTATCAATTGAAATTAACCTATCTTTGATAATTTGCACCTGAAACATTCATATAATGTCACATCTTTGTTCAACATCAATTGTTAAAAATATGAATACTGGTAACTGTAATGTACAGATGGGAACAGACAACTCTTCGTGGCCCAATTAAATTAGCATAAGTTTTTTTTTTCAATTAATGAAATTTACAAATCAAATTATTCATTGAAGCTACTTACACAAGCATTTCATTTAAGGAACAATTGACTAAGGGAATTTAATTGTTTCCATTATCTTAATTATCTTTACAATAGCACTACAGCCCATAAAGGGTCTTGATTCAGTGCTTAGTAAGGGAATACTGTTTCTTGGTCAACGTATGTGCAAGGAGATGATTTGACCGAGATCACACTCAACTACCAGGTTTTTCCACTTAATTATTTAATTAAGAATATCCACTTTATAGGGCTTGGGTGTGCCCTAGAAAGGTCTTTATACCCAGAGACAATCCTGAATTAAGAGAATAAATAATTACCTACCGCAGCCAGTACTGAACCTATACGACTTATATAGCTCTCTTTATTATAGCCGAAAAAATTATTTTATTAAAACTTCATTGTAAAAGTCTGAAAATGAACTCGTTGCCAAAACATGAATTAAAAAATGTAGATGTGGTGAAATTATTAAGAAATACATAACTGGAGAAAATTCTAACATTCCAAACATTTTTAAAAAAATGATTACTACTGATAAATATATTTAGAATTGCATTACTTGTAAATAAAAAAAAAATATCTAACCTGAATCATCTTAGTATGAAGACCTTGCCCCATTTCGGTACCACCGTGCGAGAGTAGAACCGACCCATCGGTATACACTAAAACAAGTGCGGCACCTTGATTCAGGAACAAAGTAGTGAAGGAAATCCCAAACATTGTAGGCACGATTGCGATACCACGTTTCCTCCATCTATTGCACCTGTACAAATAAAAGCTTTATTATTTTCTAATATTATAAATCGATGCACTCTTTCAATCAATTCCCTCCTCCATGTTATCTGCTAGATAGAAATTCGCTGCTTCATCGATAACTAAATCAAAACCATTATCAAACAAAATTATAATGGAAATTATCCCAGCCATAATAAAAAAAGAAAATCTGGTGTGTCCACTCACACGACTTTCCTACCTATTTCAGAAAAGTTTTTATATCTTTAAATATGTCCATCAAGAAACAAAAAAAAATTGAATTAGATTTATTTTCCTGAAAATTGATCAAAGAAAAGATTTGAGTACGATTTATTTGATAAACTAAAGCAATGTAAACCGGCTTAAGGTAGATCAGTGTAAACATTTCAATACCCTCTAATATTGCTGATCAAAAACTTTTTGCCATAGTCTAATTTTGTCAAACAATAATTCCTGTTAAAAATAGAGGAAATAGTGAAGCTTGTGTGATGCGGGAAACAGATTTTCTTACTTTCACTTAGTTATTTTTTTTCTCTTATTCACTTCTTTCTGACACCAGGATATGAACCCGTAATCTTACAATGGAAATTGAATAGCTGTAATTGTAATAGTAGCTGTAAATGATATCATTTTGTGTGTAATTTTTATATAGTTTTGTAGGGAATTTCATTACCTTTCAAAAAAACAGGCTAAACGGTGTTTGACTTAGCAGCCTCTAAAACGTATAGATCAGTTGAAAACTGGATATCAGAAATTTGACCCAATCGCAATACTTTCCTTATCTAGTGTAGGTAGAAAAATAAAAAATCTGGTGCGGTGCTCACAACACACAAGTTTCACTTACCACCCACCTTAATTTGAGTAAAAATAGGTCTTTTCATCATTTGATGGCTCAAAGGCTCAAAATATCTAAGTCATTAGCGCCCATAATAAAGTAATAGTACTATTAAAATACTTAGCTGATAGCAACTGAAAGTAAAAATCATGGATGGTACAACATATTATTTGAAACAATTTATTATTATATGTTTTTCTCGTGTAATATATTAAATTTATGCATTTTTCATCACTAACTATTTTCTTTTAGGACTGTATATTTTAATTATTTATGTAATTACAATACATAATTCAGTGCCACAAATTCTTTTTAGTTCAATAAGAGTGTCAGCAAGGAAGTAATTTATTCATATGTTTTTTTTTTTCATTCATTTTTAGTTAAAACACTGTTATATTCAGATTCAGATTCAGGTCGAAACGTCGGCAAATGTCAAAATAAATATTATCATTTATTTGTGCCTTCTTATTTGACTGATCGTCATAGCTATTCTTCTCTTTCTTCGTTATAGCTATTCTTCGTTATTCACAACAGTCAACCATTTACCCACAATTATAGATTAAATATATAGCTAAGTGATAGCAAAAAATTGATTCCTAATTAAAATAAATTCTAGAAGATAGAGACATTTTGACAATACAAATTTTGAGATCTATTGTTAGTAAAAAAATACACTTTAATTGAGTTTCCATATTTAAATTTTTTATTATTACAATGAAACTATTATTATGCCTCAGTTACTAATCTTCAATTTTTGTTCGAAACTTCAAATCTTATATCTTATTAAATCTTCAAGACTTACCTATTAAACTTTTCAGCTTCTTCTTTCCTTGCTTTATAAGAAAAGTCTTCATAACATTGTTCCCAGCAACGTCGAACATTGCAATAAGTTAATTCTTGATTGAAATGGGTTAAATCACCTTCTTTATACAAGTTGATTTCTCTAACCTACAAAAATATTATAATATAAAACATGCAAAAATCAAGACTTTTGGTAACTAGCTACGGAGCCATTGTGTAAAAATAGCACTTATTTTAAGAGAAAGTTAGAATGTAAATTACAAAAGTGTATGTTATTCTTGATACATATATCAACAATCTTGTCTGCAATTATAAAGCTGCTGATTTTCATTGAATACAACAATCGTATAATACATTTTTATAATAGGAATCAGAGTTATGTCTCTCAACCTTTATTCATTATTATTATGTTTGATTTTTATTTTCATGGAAACAATAAAACTAAATACAACAACGTTGATGGAAGCCAGTTAAGAACTAGGACTCGAGATAAATACGGACAATACAAAATATATGATTAGCTGCAAAAACAGCGACAATTTCTATGATATCTATATAGAAGGAAATGTGTTTGAACACGTACAGAATTTTAGGTATCTAAGGTCTACGATAACTAGAAAAAACAAAATTGAAGAGGATATTAAGGTTAGGCTGAAGGCGGAAAATGCTTGTTATTTTTCTTTGTCAAAACTACTTAGTTCTCGCCTCCTGTCCTGAAACTTAAAAATTAGAGTTTACAAAACTATTATTATATCTACGGTTCTTTATGAATGCGAAACATGGCTGCTTACATTAACGTTTTAAGGTTTTTGAAAATAAAGTATTGCACAAAATATTCGGACCAAAAAAGGACGAGTCAACCGGAGAATTTAGGAGATTACACAACACTGAATTGCGTGAACTGTATCCAGTTAATATAATTGGGGTGATTAAGTTGAGGCGAATAAAATGGATATTTAAAATAGCTGGGCTTAATAATGAAAGAATTCCTAAAAAGTTAATATGCGCTGTACCGACTGGCAAGCGTCCGAGGGGTAGACCAAGCAAAGGTGAGTAGATTGCATTAAGGCTTGGTGGGGTTGGATTTAGACGGAGCTCAGTGGATGGAATAATGTGGACTTCAATTGGTGGTATCGGCATCGAACCTTCGGGTTCGCTAATTCTTATTATTATTGATTTTTATTTTATATATATATGCTTTAGACAGTACTCAACTGGCACAATGTCTATTGATAATATGTTTAGGAAAGAAAAAGCTTGTTCTAACATTATTATAGAATCAGGCAGCAGGAGAAAAGAACTATAATAATTACTTTTTGTAATGGAAAAAATCCTTGCTGATAAAAATTAGAGAAATATATGAAATCGAAGGGAAAATATTGCTTTAACATTAAATTATATTTGAAAAGAAAAGAAAAAGAACTAACGAACATCATACACAACAGTTACCGATTAAATTTATTTTATAACTAAAATGATCACTGACCATATAGATTTATAACTTTTTATATACAAAACCATTATAATATTAAATTTAATGTTATAAAAATAATATAATTACTAATAATTTTCAGTAAATATATGTGAACTGTTGTCATAACATTGTTTTCTCAAGATGTTTGCTTTACATTTAATACAGTGGATTTACTTACTGCATCGACATCTTTTCCCAAGGTTTCAGCAATATGCGTCATCATGGTTTCACCTATAAACATGCCTTGCGGGCCTCCAAAACCTCGGAAGGCGGTATTCGAGCTAAGATTCGTTTTACAGCTATATCCATAGCAAGCTACATTAGGGATGTAATAAGAATTTACAAAGTGAAACATCGCTCTATCGAGAATCTACAAAAAGAAAAATGAAGTTCTTTAATGCATCGGCTCAATGATCCTAAAATTCTTAAGGAAATGTAATCATAAGTCGTACCGAAGTAGATAAGTCTATAGAACAACCACCATTATTATACAGTTTCATTTCACAGCCAATTAATTTTCCTTCTTTAGTGAAGGCTACTTTATATTTTCCTAAGAATGGATGTCTTTGCCCGGTGGTAACCATATCCTCATCTCGATCCAACATGGCCCTGACCGGCCTCTTCAGTCTAAAATAAATTATTCAAAATATAATATTCAGTCTAAATTATTTTTTATATTAAATTATTCAAAATATAATATTCAGTCTAGATTATTTTTTATATTAAATTATTTAAAATACAAGATACAGTCTAAATTAAATTATTCAAAATATAATATACAGTCTAAATTAAATTATTCAAAATATAATCGTGAATTAATAGTTGACTGTTTTGAATTTAATGAAGAGGAATTAGTTGAGGTCAGCAGTCTAAAGTAAAAATAAATAAGAGAAGGAGTTGATCGGGGTGTGCGGTCAAATTAATACGAAATTAAATAAGTAGAATTATTTAATTTTTGCCGACGTTTCGACCCACTTTGTAGGTCTTCATCAGGGCTACAAAAGATACAAAACATGTTGGAAATAAATGAATATAAGTAGATATAAAATAAGAATAAGTTGTCTGATACAGAACTAAAAGATGATATCAGAGATATAGTGGGTGACAATATAGTTAAAATATCAAGTATTACAAAAATGGAAAATAAGTTTTGTTTGGAAAATAATTTCTGTTTGTATCTTCTACATATAATACTTGATATTTTAACTACATTGTCAGCCACTATATCTCTGATATCATCTTTTAGTTCTGTATCAGACAACTTATTCTTATTTTATATCTACTTATATTCATTTATTTTCAACATGTTTTGTATCTTTTGTAGCCCTGATGAAGACCTACAAAGTGGGTCGAAACGTCGGCAAAAATTAAATAATTCTACTTATTTAATTTCGTATTAATTTGACCGCACACCCCGATCAACTCCTTCTCATATTATATCAACGGACAACCATCTCTACATCATTAAAAATAAATAAATTCTATTTATTTTTAATTTTGCTGACGTTTAAGCCCAATGTTCAGACCTTCATCAGGGCTAAGAAAAGTCAAGAAAAGGAAATAAAAAAGTTTATCTTAACATTCCATTAAATTTCCTTGTTGATTCATTTTTAATTTCTTTGCTAATTTCATTATGCTGTTACCGTTATTTTGTTATTGTTTATTTCATAAGTTCCTAACTCTGTAACCATTATTATTTATTTCATAGTTCCTAACTCTGTTACCATTATTATTTATTTCATAAATTTCTAACCTTTTTTACCATTATTTATACATTCTAACTTTGTTTTACATATTATTATGTTTCTACCGTTTACTAGTTTCTTATATGAATTGTCATCTTGACTTTTCTTAGCCCTGATGAAAGCCTTAACTTTGGGCCGTCGGCAAAAATAAAAATAAATATAATTTATTTATTTTTACTTTAGACTGCTCTTCTCAACCGATACTCTTCATTATATTCAAAATATGCTTCATATAGTTTTACTAAATATATTTTTTCAAAACGGTGAATATGTTGAAGACATATATAAATATATACCTAGAGAGATTTGAAAGTATATTTGTATATTCAACCTATAAAGTACGCCTATTAGTTATTACACTGTTATTTTCTATTGTAAAGTTTACTAAAATGAAATTATGAGATTTTCATTGATGGGATTTCACAAAGGGAAATTCATGAAGTTATTTACTAATTTAATTTTCTAAAAGTTTACATGACAATTTTTCGGAGTAAAGGGACGTTGAAACCAAATTATTTAAATATAATGTCAGATCTAGAATTATTAAACTACTTTTAATATTTAATATTTCCATATATAAGATAATAAATACAACACTCATGAATTTGGTCTTTTATACAGTAATAAAGAAATAGGTTAGGTACATACTTTTTGGCTGCTATAGCAACGGGGAGGGCCAAGAGAGGTGCCCGAGACTCTTTGCCACCAAATCCTCCGCCCATTCTCTTCACCTTGCACACAATCCTGTTGCTAGGGATACCAAGAGTGTGGCCTACCAGGTGCTGAAAGAATACAAAAAAATACAATCATGAGACTCTTCACTAAAAACATAGTCAAAAAGAAAAGAAATAATAATACCTGTATTTCAGTAGGATTTTGTGTCGAACAATACAATTCCATCTCATCATCTTCATATTTAGGAACAGCTATACAAGCTTGCGTTTCCAGGTAGAAATGCTCTTGACCTCCAACACGAACTTCTCCTTCAATAATATTTTCGGCTGTTTCAAAAGCTTCTTCAACATTTCCTTTTTTTAGAAGTTTCGGAACCTTATTGAAGAACGATCCTTCTCTGATAGCATCCTGGAAACGATATTGGGTATTTAAAAAAATTATATATTTAATTAAAGCCTATTTAAAACAATATATTTCATACCTCGATGGATATAATGACAGGTTCTAGATCCTCATACTCAATTTTAACAAGTTTTGACGCCCTTCTCGCCGTCAACGGATCATCGGCTATTATTGCTCCGATAGCCTGTCCATTGGTCACAACCTGCATTTAAAACAAAAATAAATAAATGTTAGTACCTTGAATAAGTTATCTATGTTTCCTAACAGATGGCAGCACCAGTATTTCATTTCAGATGGCAACATAATTTTCCAAGAGCTACTGTCAATAAGCTTGGACTTCAGTGTATGTTACTTCACCATGGTGTAAACTTTTTTTTATATTTCTAAAAATGTCAAGTTCAAAATAATGATTCTAATTTAGGAGAAAAAAGAATGCTCTCGCAAAGCAAAAAAGTTTGAAGATAAAATAGCTGAATTTGGAAAATTATTAGTAGTAGATGACAAAACGGTTTCAAAACGTTTGAAAGCATGAGGAATGATCCAGAAGCAAGGATATTGGGTGCCGTATGAGTTAAAGTTTTTTGCATCTTATCAAGACTGCTGAAGCAAAGTGAACATAGTACAATCATTCTATGCTTCAAAATTCATGGGATAAGCCCGGTCATGTGTCAACATCATTTGCAAAACCAATTATCCAAGGAAAAACAGCCAATATACGAGCAGAGACACAACAGATGATTTTATTACATGAGAAAGCTCGGTCACCTATTACAAAACTGATAAAAACCTAGCTGGAAACGCTTAAATGGGAAGTCGTGCCCCACCTACCTTATCCACTGGATATAGCCCCTTCGATTAACATTTATTTTATTCAAAAGCACGTGGCTTGGCTAAGCAGCACTTACATTTTCATGTAGATACCAAAAAATGTGTAGATTCTTGAATAGCCTTAAAAGATAAGTCGTTTTTCCGATGTTGAATTCATATGATGAAAGTAGTGTCTAGTGATGGGTAATACTTTTTTTATCACTTATTTTAAATAAAGCATTAAATTTCTCAAAAAAAACAACGAGAACTATTCAAGGTCCTAGTATTTACATATAAAGTAATAAAAAATACATAAATAAAGAATGAAGATTTAATTTACCTTTTCAGAAGCAAATATTTCTTCATCGTGGAAGATTGGTCCAAATAAATTGTGCTCAGGAGGAATATCTTTAGCAGATATGAAGGAAATAACTCCTGGTAACGCTAAAGCTTCGGTGGCGTCCACAGAAACTACTTTAGCATGAGGGCGGGTACTAAGTACAAAATTGAGAAAACACTCGTTCTCAAATTTTGGAATATCGTCACAGTAAATTGCTTCACCTAAATACAAATAAATAAATGTTGTAGTGGTTTTACTTGTATTTACTGAAATTTAATTATATGTTACATTTATTTTTAACTAATAATAATAATTTAATAAATTTAAATAATGTAGTGGTAATTTTCACCAAGTTTATCTCACAAAAGATAATTTTTGTTCACACTTTTGTATTTATTTTTTAGTAGATAACTTACTATTTTTTATACCATTTATATCTATTTATGAATTTTCTTTCTCTTTCATATTATCATAATGTAGCTATCTTGTCTGTGTTTAGTTCTGTTGAAGGGTGAAATGTTGGTAAAAAGAAAATATCGTTTGTGTACTTCACTAACTGCAAACTCCAACCCATTTCTCTTAATGAGTAATTTTTACAACATTAAATATAATATTACAATGATTTTAGAAATTGAAAGTTATAAATATACAACAAAATCTAGAAAATACTTAATCCAAAAGGTTCAAGAACATGTGATGAATCAGTATGGATATGGTAAGCGATTGATATAAAAGATGAGTTCACAGTATGTAAGAAGTGAGCTTGCTATAAAATAAGTTTTAATTTAAAACTAGCTAAATTTTACTTATATTTAGATATTAATAAATCAAAATAACAAAACTTAAATATCTATTTTAGATAAGAACATATAACAGATAATAATTATAAGAACATTACTTCATCATTTAATTAGCTAGTAAATTAATACAAAATAAATAATATATACTTCCAAAAGAAATAAGAGGTTATTGAATAATAAACAAAATTATAAGAGTATTAATATATTTATTTATCTCAGGTGTGGGTTACTGACAATCAGATTAAAACACTCAGACAAACTAACATTAACTAAACTTAACACTGTTTGATTTTAAAATAAAGTCAAGTATGGATTGTCAAGCTAACCTTTTTTTCTATAGATACTGGAATGACTAACTCCAATTTCAAATTTTTTGATTATTAATTTTTGTGATTTTTCTAGTGGAAAAGTGTATACCTTTATTCACAGTTCTATACTTCAATACTTCAATCACCAACTCTAGAATCAAGTTACTCACTGTCTGTACAGATATTATAAGTTTTTCAAAAAGAGATATCACTAAAATGACTTTACTCAAAAATGTTGAAATTGGAGTAAGTCATTCTGTCAACTGAAAGAGTAATATGTATCTTAACCAACCTGTTGCTTGTTTAAAAGCGGATTTATGAACCATTGGTCGGCCAACCATGTCACTTTTCTTTTGTTCTGATGGTACCTATAAAAAACAAAAACAAATAGAAAAAAAAGCAATGCCATTTAATTTGTAAAAAATAAGTAAAGAATTAAGACTTTGGTTGATTAAAGTTTAGGAATTATAATTTGTACATCAAGTTATTTTTGTATCAGTGAGTAAACAAAATTAATAAATTAAAATAAAGATTTACAGAGTATAGAATAATCAGTTTAATCAGGTTAGATTTTCATATATAACATTGAAAGTAAAAATAAAACTTACAATGTTTTTGAATAATATTTTAAAAAATAAAAGAGATACCTTAGTAAAATATTGTGAGCTTTGAGGAATCAGAGAATGAAATTGGTCTTTTCCGCTGAGATAGTTAGTAGGTAACTTGTTCGAAAAACCATTTTCTTCAAGTATTTGGCTCAAGTATAGATAGAATTTGAAGAATAAGCTGTAAGCAAAATAATATAAGTTTAGTAATAACTATGTAAATAATAGTGGCATAAAATTTTTTAAATTCTACAGTACACTTAAAGCAGAATATAACAACATATTTTGGGGGGAGGGAGGGGGCAAAATAGACTTGGTATTTAGTTCTCTCACTTACTAAGAGTACTGAAGTCTTTTGTAAATAGTCACTGGTTATTATTTTTTATATTATCATTTCTAGTTGTAAAAGTCATTTAATTTTATTCATTATGTTACAAAAAAATTTCTGCTAGAAACTCAGATTATGTCCATTTAATTTTACAGTCCATTATAATTTTTTTTAATACATTTTTTTTTTCATTTTGTATCACTTAAATATATAAAGTCAAAACTTCAGTTTTAGGGTCCACTTAACACCATGAGGGAGCTTAACAAATATATTTAATTGCAGATCAAATGGGTTAAAAAACATAAGCAAAGAACGCTGATTGAATGATATTTACAACAAAATTGAGAATTAATTATTTAAAAATTAACCATCAAACAAATTTTACCTTAGAGTCAGTGATCTTCTGTAAGAAATCATTCCGCCAGGTGCTTCGGGACTTAAGGGCAATTCCAACATTAGCGATTCATAAGCTTCATTTAGCATTGATTCATTCCATTCCCTGAAAATTTTACAAACTAAAATAAACATGATATTATTATGCAATAATAATATTATCAAAAATGGTGAAAATAAAACCAAGGAATGAAAAAAAAATATGCTGAAAACTCAAGATTCATAGCTAAATTTCACTGGTTTAAAAAAAATGAATAAAGTAATTTATTTCATGAGCACTTGATTATGATCAATGGATTGAAAAAATTAAGTTTAATCTTGAAGAGTCAAATCTATAATTATTCAGGAGTTAATCAGTTTTCAAATAAGAAATTAATTTATAATTCATGTACTAATATTAATTTTCTAAAGTAAATAAAAAAATAGTCATTTAACCGAATAAATGACATCATTGATAAAATTTAAATAATTTACATTTTAAATTATCAATGACATACTTTCCAATTAACAATGATGCTGTTTTCTTTGTTAAGATTGTAGTTGGTGCCATACCACCATAGGAAATATTGATGTTAGTTATTTTGTTCCCATTTAAAGTGACATTGAACGCAGCGTTTACGATTGCAATATCGTCATCTCTTCTCTTAGCCTGTTTATAGGCTTTGAAATATTGATTCTGAAAATATGAAAGTTAATTGTTTTCCAAGTAAATTTATAAAAATTAATATTATTTAAAAAATGTTTAACAGAAGGAAAGCAATCCACAGTACACATGTTTTAAGAAAACTCAAGTAAAAGTTAATGGTCTTGGAAGCTTTCAAATAAATATATTTTCATTTTCGTTATGGATCTAATTTTATTTTATATTTTAGTCATCCCAAAATATTAATATTATAACAATAGATTGTACATATATGATCATAGATTGATCGATAGAGGTATAAAAGAGCGAAGCCTGCAGAAAAATGCTTCAAAGACATCAAGAAAGAATTCCTGAATAAGCAAGAAGCGAGCAAGGACGCCAAGAAAATTGTATTAGAAAACACTTTCTTTCCAATAATTACCTACTCCAGACAGTCATAGAACTTCACCGCTAGACACAAAAGGCAGATTGAGGCCAAGGAGATGCGATTTCATTGCAGTGTCAAAGAAAAACAAAGAGATATCTTATAAGGAACTCCACAATAAAAAAAAAACCTAAACGTATAACCAGCTGAGACTGTGATAGAGGAAAAATGTTTGAGGTGGTTTGGTCATGTCTCTTGAATGGGAGAGAACTGAGTGGCTACGGTTGCGTAAGAAAGTAAAATTGATGGAAGAAGTCCTTGGGGAGGTCCATGAGGATTTGGCAGGGGGTTTCAAGGAGGCTTTTGAGGAGGAGGAATAAACTCATGGAGGAGACGACAGTTGGCACAGGAGCGAGAGTAGAGTTCGCCTCTACAAAAGAGTCCTTTCACAGCTCAGGAATAAGAGAAGAAATGATTAAGAGTAACAACGTTGCCTAAAATCAATAATAATTAAGAATAGAAACGTTGCTATTTCAATTTTTTTTTCTTATTTAATTTTCTATTTAAGATACTTGAACCAATATGGTTCTGTTGTGTTAAAAATAATAAGTATTCATAATATTCAAAATAACATATAAATCATTTCTTGGATTTGTTTCATTCTGCTAAACAATGACCAATTTATCAAACAAACATTATAACTTCCTTTGGATTAATTAATTACCTTTTCAGTGAAAGGGATGAAAATAGCCAATAAAATTTCATCTTCTTTGACTATATTCCTCCTATAGCCAGTCCAGAAATTGTGATCCATAGGAACTGTCCGTCTTCCATTATCTGATAAATAACAAGCACATAAATTATATTTAAAATATTATATTGAGATAATGATAATTGAAATATCAATAAACAATTTAATTAAATAATAACTGTGCGCTAGATGTAAAGGACACCATGTCTATTTTTTATTAAATAATTTAGTAAGTAAGAAACAAATTTTAATGGTTAAAAGTTATGAAAAATTGGCCTCACTGAAGAAATACAAAAATATGTGGTCTTTACCATCGGGATACAGATAAAAAATTGTTGTTATTTTTTTATGATGATTATTAATGATGCGTTTGGTAACAGAATTAACTGGGTTCTGGTTAGCGGGTAATATCAAGTTATGGGTTTCTTCAGGCATTTAGTAACGCATAATAATGACCTGTGGACTTCTCTAAGTACAGGGTGTCTGGCCATTACACACCACATAATAAAATCATTCAAACACCGAGAAACCCAGTATTATGAGATTACTCAAATATTGGTTACCGTATATAAAAAAAAAATAAATCTATGAAAAATTAGCTGGCTACTACTTGTAAAAACTAAGTACTAGAAAATGAGAAGGAGTTGATCTGGGAGTGCGGTCAAATAAATACTTGTCTGATAAATAAATAAAAAGATGATATCAGAGATATAGTGGGTGACAATGTAGTTAAAATATCAAGTATTATATATTTAGAAGATACAAACAAAAAATTTTTTTATTCATACTTATTTTCCATTTTTGTTTGTATCTTCTACATATATAATACTTGATATTTTAACTATATGTGATATTATCTTTTTATTTCTTTATCAGACAACTTCTTATTTTATATCTACTTATATTCATTTATTTTATTTTCACAATGTTTTGTATCTTTTATAGCCCTGATGAAGACCTCCAAAGAGGGTCGAAGCGTTGGCAAAAATTAAATAATACTATTTGTATAATTTAGTATTTATTTTACAGCACCTCTCCCCCCCCCCCTCGATCAACTCCTCATATTATATCAATGGTCAATCATCATCAACTAATAGAAAAGTATCCGAGTATTAGCTGAAAAAGGATAACTTAGATCTAGCACTCGGCTCAGAAAACTAAAACAGTGGATATGGGGTATATAGTGTTATGAAAATGAGGCCACTTCATCATTTAAAAATGTATGTTGTAAACAATTTTACCTTATCACAAAATGTTACTTATGGATGAAAAACGATAAAGAGATGAATTCTGCAAAAAAATTTTGTTTGTTTAAAATGGAAAAAAATACACAAAAAAATGTCCATGAAGAAGCACCAGGAGCTCAAGATATTGACTCACAGAAAATAAATAAAAATTATAAATTAATGGAAAATACACCTTTATAAACCCAAGATCATTTTGTGACTGTTCCTCATAAAATAATAAATAGGAAAATTGACTACCTTTGCTAATCAGTTCGAGCTCACATCCACCTGCCATAAATATAGGATTCAGATCTGAAATAGGGCTCCCTGTCATGATGTTTCCTCCGACAGTCTGAAAAAAGATATTGAATAATTATGAAATCAATCAATCAATAAAAATATATAAATCAATGAATAGTCATCAATTTTTTTATAAGCAATGATGAATAATATAATTGCAAATATAATTAATAATTATAATATTAGTGGAGATTAGATAATATCGAGAATCGAACCTTTAGATTTGCTAAGCCTATTATTATTATTAAAAGGCTTAGAGCAGGAGAAGGGCTTATACTTTAAAGTGAATTTTGAGATAAAATAAATAAATATCATATACAAAATAATAAACAACTAATGATTTTTACCCCAGTGTTTCGTATTTGTTTTCCAGCAAACCAATGCAGCATATCTGTGATGGCCTCAAAGATCCTTGTTTTTTCAGCTGTAAATAAAAAAAAATTAATCTTCAGCAAAACTGTATATATAAATATAATAAAACTAAAATGAGGAGCATTGTAGATGCCAGGTATAAATCGGATAATGTTCTTTGAAATTTTGTAAGAGATAGAGTGTTATTTGGAATCGAGTGTTCTCTACAATCGAGGATTTTTGAAATTGGTCGAAGTGAACAAACCTATTCCATTAAGCTACCTCACAATTAGTTATTCCTTGAGACAATTATATCAATTAAAGTGATGATTAAACATAAAGCTGTGATCTCATAAAAGTTTACCGCATGATATTTTCCATATCCATTTGAAGCCCTCACAAAGGGATTTATGCATTTCAAAATAAACTTATTCATCACTTCATTAACCAGCAAATTTTCATTTTACAAAATTTTAATGATTTAAAATATATTAGGTAACAATTTGCTTCATAATAAAAAGATCATGTAGAAATGGAACTATTAAGTTAGCTGACACATTTTTTTTGGAAAATGGATTTATGCCACTTTCACAATAAATGGCTCATATATAAATTATCCATATGAATGAAAAGGATTCTGAATAATGTTATTATTGGTTTCAATAAGATCAAGCAACAATTTTTAGTAAAAATTTTAGATCAATATTTTAGTTTAACTCTATAGAAAATACAGAATGTTTATTTGTTTTATACTTACATGGCACAGTTTTCATCTGTTGAAGAAGGGCTTTTTCCATCTCGGAAAGAGTAACAGCAGCACCAACCTTAATTTTATCCTCCTCCACCGATACTTCCGTAAGTTCTTTAATTTGGTTTGGCATAATCAGGACAGGATACAAAAAATTTTTGAACTTTACCTCAACCCCTTGAAAAAAAAAAGTCCAATATGAAGACCATAGGTCACCAAAAATACAATATGAAAATTCGAATATGAATTCCTTCAATTACAATGTAAATTTCTAAAAAAAAAAATATCAAATGTCAGATGAAAAGTGTGAATGATTTCTATTTAATTTAAACCTTAAATATGTACATCTGTCGCTACAGCATCTTTACTGAGCCTCCACTGGTCATTAATACCAGTGACACACCTGAGAGAGGCGTTGGGATCTCCTGGAGTCTTGCTTTTCTCTACACATATGGAGGGAAAGGCTTGGCTCAGATTTCTCCTGAATGAATGTTATAATATTGTACAGAAATAGAAAAATAACTTTATTTTGGGATGAGGTTCCTTAAGAATAACAGAAGGTTACAGAACAAAAAAAATACTTCTGGCCAGAAGAACGATATTAAATAAAAAGAGTTACATTAAATAAATAAAAAAGCCTTAAGTATACTTACAAAACCGAACTAAAGAAACGATATACAATAAATACAAATTATATAAGTGTGGTTATATTTAATTTGTTATTGCGATTAGTTTAAGTTTCTTTTTTTACTTTCCTACCTATACTAGGCAAGGAAAGTATTGCAATCGGGCCAAATTTCCAATATGCAGTTTTCGACGGATCTGTACATTTCAGAGCTCCTTGAGTCCGAAAAATACATTTTTAGCCATTGGTCTAAAAAAACACCAAAAAAAAATGCTGTTTCATTACTTTGTTTTTTGAAAGATAATGAAATTCCCTACAAAACTGTATAAAAATTGTTCATTTTGGACAACTATTAACAAAGTTACAGCTATTCAATTTCCAATGTAAGATTACGGGTTCATATCCTGGTGTCAGGAAGGGGTGAATGAGAGAATAAAGGTGACTAAGTGAAAGTAAAAAAATCTGTTGCTTGCATTACACAAGCTTCACTATTTCCTCTTCTTTTAACAGAAATTATTGTTTGATACTACTAAGCTATCGCAAAAAGTTTTTGATCAGCAATCTTTGAATATTGGGTATTGAAATTTTTACATTGATCTACCTTAAGCCGTTTTACATTGCTTTAGTTTATGAAATAAATCGTACTGAAATCTTTCCTTTGATAAATTTTCAGGAAAATAAATCTAGTTCATTTTTTTTTTTTGTTTCTTCATGAACATATGTAAGTATATAAAAACTTTTCTGAATTAGGAAAGTCGTGTGAGTGGACACACCAGATTTTTTTTAATGTATATATGTATTTATCTTTAGTATTGTTACTTTGCTGATGTACCATTTAATTTATTTTTTATTTATTGTACATTAGATGTGAATGAACTCCTGTATTATTAATGTTCTTAGTTCAGACAGAATGTGATACTTTAAACAACTTGAAGTAGAACATTATAGTGTGTATTTTTTATGGAAATAACAATGAAATTATTATTTAGTGTACAAAACAAAATGTATAAACAAATCAAAATTTTAAGAAAAAAATTCAAGATTAAAAACTCACAGTCTAAGCTCCTGTTTGTCTATACTTTAATGATAATGAGCCAATGATAAATTATATTTGGTATTATAATTTTATTTAATATAACATTATAAATCTTACCGATTTCTGTGTTGCCATTAACAATCTTTGCTGACGGAAATGATTTTTTCAAATCAAGAAGTTGTTCCAAAGTAACAGGTCTGTACCAAGTGACTTTGGGCCCTTTAATGTTGATAAACTGTCTGTCTAATTCATCACTTACCTGCAAAATTATTATTACTAAAACTAATTATAAAATAACTATTTAAAAAAAGTTAATATTAAAATGATTACGGAAATAATTCAATCTGTCTTATGCATCAAAATGTAATTGCATACCAACTTTAACATATTGATGAGGAGTTAATGAAGTGATTATGAGCAAGTTCCTAAACTTAGCACCAATTCCATCAATGGAATACACCAGAATAGGGACTAACTAATTAAAATTAAACTTAAAGATAACCAAATAAAAATTTTAACCGATAAATTAACAAATATTATTTATAAAATAAATTGTAAAAATTGCAACAACAAATCATATTTTGGACAGATATCACAATGGTTTGAAAAAAGACTTAAACAGCACAAACAAAATTGTAATTCAAAAAACACAAAAATTAAATTAGCTACTGGACTCTCTCAACATACTATGCAAACAAAACATGAATTTTATTTCAAAAACACTAAAATCCTGCATAATGAAAGTAATACGAATAAACGTAGAATAAAGGAAGCAATATACATAACTAAAAATTTAAAAAACTCGGTAAATAATCATACAGACGTGGATAATATGAATACATTTTACGCGAGTTCAATTGAAAAAATAAAAATTTGAAATGAATTAGCTAATTTTACTTAAAATAGGTCCACATATAATATTGGGAAACATCATTGTATATGTTTTAAAATAAATAGTCTTCCCCTACTCCTTTAAGAATAACCAGTCACTGAATAGAAATGAGACTGATGACATGTCGGTGACACATGATAAGGTAATTTTAACTTATTTGAATCATTTAATAAGAAATAATTGAGTAATAATAATGTTATAAAATAATTAAAGGTGGACATGACAAAAATAAAAAATTTATTATGAGTAGACGCATGCAATTCGCATAAGTGAAAAGGACAGGTACATGATTGGTATTTAGGTATATAAAAAGAATCTCCATGTGTTGAAATATGTAATGTTTTAAATATGATTGTAAAATTTTTTTAGACTTGAAAATGGCTCAACGAGCCGAAACGTCGTAATTAGATGTGCAGTCATTAAGTTGACAAAATTTTAAAAATTGGTGTAAAATTTGCTGATAATAAATAAACTCGAAAAAAAAATTTTTTGTTCTATTTTGGTTTTATGACTTGTCAAAGCAAGACCTATTTTGCCGATAAAATATATTAATAGTCACTGTAAGATGAAATTAAACTATATATTTATTGAATATTTCTGCATATATGATTATTGAGCGTAACTAACTCTTGAATGTAACTTATATAAGACTCGAAATTGAAAGACTAATTGTTAAAAACTGATGTACCAGTAGTTTCATAAAAATCAAATGAGAATAAAAAGGGACTTTTATTATATTAGTGCTTTTACGTCATTAAAAATCTTTACCTGATAACGGGTGTTATCTTTATTTATCGACTGAAGAAAGTTAGCTCCACCATCAACCAAAATTTATAAATTATTTTTATAATATTATACAATAGATCATGGAACTCACAGCTAGCTCTGGAGGAAATATAGGCTCTTGTGTAGGATCATAAGGTATAAAAGAAGAAGAATCAAACAGCTTCATAGGACCATCGCTTCCATTTGCAATTTCTGATTTAGTTCCATTCGAACAGCTTCCATTTGTTAATAATTTCTTATTTTTGCAGCAATTCTCTCCTAATCCACAGGTCCCATTGACGGCAGCACGTTGCATCTGTTCATATTCTTCCGTAAAAGTCTTGTATCCTTCAATTATAGGCCTATATCCAGTACAACGGCATAGGTTTCCTGAAAAATTTAATGAGTGATGTAATTCTTTACATACAAAGAGTTGTAATCAGAGATTGAATTCGATTTTTTTTTTAAATTTAATATTTGTGCAATATTTTAAGTCATATTTTCTAGAGATATTTCTTTTGCTAATGACCTGAAAGCAGGCCAGAACAAAATACCATGCATTTAATGTTTTTAAAATACGGTGTATTTTGTATGTATTACAAGTATTTAAATACTTGCAGAAAAAGTATCTAAATTTGTTGTTACAATAGTTAATTTTATATAATGATAATCTGGTGCATATGTTAATCATGTGGCATAGTATTCAGCTGAAATAAGGTAGAGCATTTAGTTCTTAAGAGGTATTTTTGAGAGCGAATAATTTGATGGTATATATAATATCTAATTTAAGACTTCAAAAATAACAGTTCTTAAGACTTAGATGTTTTGTGCCAACAGTTTGCACACAATCAAACAGTTATTTTTCAAAATGCTATGAAACTTATTGAAGATGACAAAATTTCATAATCGAAATAGCAAATGAAGTTAACTTGCTGATGAACAAAATTTATACTTTTCCTTATCAATATATTTTTAAATCATGATAACTCATTTAAAATACCATTTTCGTATTGTTTATTAAGTCCAAACAACGGTGGTCGAATTCTAACAACTAATCGACAATGCGAACTATGATAAGCAGTTCTCAACCATTATTCTTTAATATTAATATTTAAAAATATAATATCATGTTCATATCCTGGCAAAATAGCCAAATGGCCTCTGAAAGCTGTATACTCTTCCTATTCTCCTGCCATTCCCTAGCTTAACATATATTCTTTCCGTGACAAATTGTTAAAAAGCTGGATTTCTAGCCACCTTAGTTTAGTTGGGAAATATTAGCATATGTGGCTTACTCACCAGGCTTGTCTCCGATTGACTACTATTTATTTGCATCAAAGAGGCATCCACTAGCTCAGCGGCACTTCACTTCTTATGAAAATGTACGGAAATGGCTTGCCACATGATTACTAGTTTGCCACAAAATAGCAAAGTTTTCTGACATGGCATTTAAAAATGGGTAGAGAGACGGGAAAATGGACAATATTTCAAATTTAAATTTTTATGCAATGAACGTGTATTTTCTGTACAAAAATTTCGATTTCTTATTTTCACACCTAGTATAGGTGTTTTATTTATTTTATACTTTTTTAATTAATTTCAAAACTTAATAGGGCAAAGTAATATTCGAATAATAAAAGTTATTTCATTTTGTAAAATAACATACAATTTTTAATTTGTTTTAGTTATCATATTTTGAACAATAAACAATAAGTTATTAACAGTAAATAAATTATGATGCTACAGAATGATCATACAAACCTTGAAAGGCTACTTCTAAATCCTTCATGTTAGGCTTGCCTGGTAGAGACCTGAGAAGACTGTACATGGACATGACGATACCTGGAGTACAGAACCCGCATTGCGAACCGTGGGCTTTGGCTATCCTCTCCTGCACTGGATGCAGTTTGGTCTCGACGCTTCCTATACCTTCGACGGTGGTGACTGCAGCGCCGTGGACGGCACAAACTGGTGTGAGGCACGCGTTAACAGCCAAATGACTAAAAGCTAAGGAGTATAATTATCGACAATCATAAAATTAAATTGTACAAAATGCACAGATACAAATTAATTTTTCATATTTGAATCTAAGGCAGAGATGGATATATAGTTGAATGTTAAAATTATGTGAGTGAAAAATAATCAGGATATGTAGTATATTGTAACATCTCTCTTATATTTTTAATTAGTAATAATTACAACCTCGGAAGATCACTTTACACCATTGGGATACTTCCAAATAAGTAAGAGGTTATTAAATAATAAACAAAATTATAAGAGTATTAATATATTAAACTGAATTTTACAATTATTCTATTTCAGGTATGGGTTACGGACAATCAGATCAAAACATTCAGACAAACTATTATTATTTACACTATTTATACTAAAATTAGACTGATTTTAACATAAAGTTGGCAAGCTAGTCTTTTTTATATAAATTCTGTTTCTTCCTTTGTTGCACTAAATTCATTTGTCTTCAAATGCTTTCCAATGTTCTGCCAAACACAACTTCCAGATTGGTGAGACTTTCTTCTATTCAACTCAAACTTCCTGGGAGATCCTCTCTCTTGTCATTGCAAACAACTAGTCTCTCTGCCAAATAACTTCCAAGATGGTAATACTATTACTGGGTTTTACCCACTGGAGCCAGGATCACTTCTCCTATCCTCTCTTCACTGCAGCCACACAACAACTGCTTGCCAAAACAAAATCCTTTGTTCCCTCTTTGGAAAATTCCAAGAAATGGGAAATTTTATGAGAAATTACAGAGCAGCCATTCTCTTTTCCCTGAACTAGTGAAACTAGATTAGCTTGCTTTTTAACTGTTAAATTCTAACCCTTTTTACTCAATTCCAATAAAGATCTACATTACAATATATTTGATTTATTAGGCTTGCCGACATCTTGATTCCAGCATTTGGGGAATAAATAATTAAATAAAGGATTAGTTGAAGAACATAATGATTTATGCATTCCTTACATTAAGCCAAATAAGAAATAAGATAAGAGACCTACGTGTCAAGAATGAATTAATACACAAAGACTTTTGTTATGATATAGTGATAGATACACATTATTCAAAATTATGAAGTATAAGATTTTATAAAAAAATCAGAATATAAGAAAATTATATTAATAATAACTTTTAATATATTAATGATATGTAAAGATTAGTGTTATATTTTTTTAAACAGCTATAGAAATTACATAAATCTATGTTAATTGTTTCCTGTAATTTCTTTTCATTTCATTTGCATAATTGTTTCTTAATGTTACTAAAATGAATAACCTCTCCTCATCTTAATTAATTAACTATTTAATATTCAATTAATAGTTACTACATAAACATTTAAAAATCCCTTATTATAATAAACATGATATAAAATTATAATCCAATAAAATTAAAATGAAAGGATACATAGTCTCATTTTTTTTTCGATCCTTTTTTGATATCATTACCGTGCAAGCTCCACATCCTCCTTCGGCACAACCTAATTTTGTACCAGTCAGGCGTACTATTATTTAAATGTTAAGGATAATATAAAAAGAAAAATATCAAGAAATAAAAAAATATTATTTAAAATCATAAACTGATCATCAACAATTCAGATATAAATATATCTGTTATATATAAATAAATACATAATAAAATGTAAATCCATAATTGAAAGTATTTTTTAAAATCAAATAACAGTAACAGTTCTACTAAAATTGAGGAAGTACTTATGACTAATTGTTATGTAACTTTTTTTCCAATTTTCTGATAACACAAAAATATTAGACAGCGCGAATATGCTAAAATATACTAAAAATCTTTCTTATTACATAATAAGTATTTTCAATAAGCAACATTTGGAATTCAATTAATTAAAAAAATAAAACTATATTTGTGTAATTTTTTTTTAATGATTATTTTACACTTAAAATATACTTTAAAAGTTATAGTAATAAATAACTAGAAAATAATAATATAAAATATAAATTTATAATGCACTCGATTGAAAGGATACATTTGGATCTGAGATAATACAACAGTGTCCATTCTGGATCTACCTGGTCATCAACAACCTAAAAACAAAAGAATCAGTTAAAGTAAAAATCAACATATATTTATTTATTTAAGAAAAATGATTATTTCAGTTTTTATAAAGTTAGTCGAGGGAGATCATGAATCATTCATTATTGTTTGTATTTCAACTTGTTATTTAATTTCCTCTGTTATTACTCATTTCATTTCTTAAATTTGATTTAGAGGTCTATCATTGCCTTTTTATATTGGACAAGACGGTGACAATGGATATATATTAATGCCCTTAATATTATTCCTGAAACGTCGACACAAAGGAAATAAAAATAAATATAATTTATTGATTTTTACTTCGCACATTCATTAATATCATACTATGTTTCTCAAAGGTGTTCTTTTGTCGCTTTGCCAATTCTTCATCAAATCCAATGATTGAGCCCCTCATTTTGAAGATCTCCTTCACGTGGGAAAAATAGTTACACTCGCTCTCTCCCTCCACCCGAAAAATCAGAAGAAAAAGTTAAGAAGGAAAAGAAACTTTCTTTGCGAATAACTCAAAAAAATATACATTTTTTTTGTCGATTCATCAATGATTATTTGAAAAAATACTAAATTTACTAGAAAAAAATCATGGAATTAGGATCATTATTATCAAAGATATAAGTTATTATAATTTGAGAACATGTTGGTATAAAACTTAAATGATTTTTTAATTTTTTTTTTTTTTTTTCCTTTGCCGATTATAATCACGAAAAAAATAAGAATTGATCCCTTATGATACATTGCACTATTTCAATTCCTTACTATTTTGTCTATTGATATGAGAAGGAGTTAATAGGAGGGTGTGGTCAAATAAATACTAAATTGAAATATAGTAATTATTTAATTTTTGCCGACGTTTCGACCCACTTTGCAGGCCGTCTTCAGGGCTACAAAAGATACAAAACATGTTGAAAATAAAAAATAAATATAAATAGACATAAAATAAGAAGAAGTTGTCAGATACAGAAATAAAAAGATGATATCTCTGATATTTGATATATATATACAAATATTTGATTATTGAAGATGTAATAAATGTAATATTTTTTTTACATTAATTGTCAGTATATTAATAATATTGCTCCAATATATCAATAAAAATAATATTCAGATGTAAGAACAACTAATTTTTTTGTAGTGGTAACGGGATTCAGGTAAATATTTCAGCCCCTTTAGTGATAAAAAAAAACTAGGATTAACATTTTAAAGAGACCTGATTTCGAGATCTATCATGGCCTTATTACATTGGGCAGGATGGTGACCGTGAATAAATCTTAATATTATTCCTGAAACGTCGGCACCAAAGAAACAAAAATAAATACAATCTTATGATTTATACTTCACACTATCATTAACATCATACTATCTTTATCTATTATTTCTCAAAGATGTTTTTACTTTCACTTACGTATATATGAAATATATAGTAAAGGAAAGTATTGCGATCGTGAAAATTTTTGAATCTCAGTTTTCAACAGAAATACACGTTTTGAGGTCCCCTGAGTCAAAATAATCAAGTCCCGCAAAATGATCTGTGTGTGTGTGTGTTTGTGTGTTAACAGTCTACCTCAAAAACGAAAAGTCGTACGAAAGTGAATTTTTTTTTTTATATATACTAGGGACGTTACAGTAACTTTTTCGTCAAAATCGACTCACTGGAAGTGGCACTTTATATCATGGGCTAAACATATTTTTATAATTTTCTTGGAAACTACTCTAATGATTTTGATTAAATTCATTATATTAGTGTAAAATTAAGCAGTTTTAAATAAAATGTAGTTTTTATTCTGATTGGTGTTCTCTAACAGGGCTTAAATGGCTAATTTTCAATATTAGCTTCCTCTAAAGTAACTTTAATTTTTTTTATTTGTAACAGTTGATCATTTCACATTAATCTCTAATATAAAATATAGTTAAATGTAAAATATGAAAGAATTATACAATTAACTAAAGGAGAAATAAGAAATTGTAACGGAAAATAGTTGTAATTGAGGAACTAAAGGAATACAAGCTGGCCCGAAAGATTATAATATGCTTCTATACGTAACATGAGCTTAATATAATAAGGACTTCGACAATATTATATAAATATAAATGTGCGGCTTTCATAAATGCTGTTGTTGGTATTATTTAATATTTAATTGTATAGAATACATCGATATAAATATTAAATTTTGTATATATAAGGGTAATTATACAAACAAAAATACCCACAATGAAATGTAAATAAATATAGCGTCTATAATTTTTACTTTCACTTAGCCTTTGTCTGAAAATACTTATTTCTGCTAAGAAGAGAGTGGCAAGTGGAAGTTGTGTGATGCGCGCACCGCACCAGATTTTTTTTTCTGCAGAATTCAGCAAACCCAAAAGTTCGATGCTGCAACAAATCTATCGACAAAATCCGACCTGACACAATCCTTTCTTCGTAAGAATCAACTCTTCTAACACTTCAGCATTGCTGATAACCCATTATAGTGTCTTATCAAACTAGATACGTCAATTTTTATCTCCAAGATCGTATTACTTCAATTATAAATACCGGGTACCACAGAAAAAAAATAATTTTTTTATTGGCTCATAAACAGCAAATAAAACGAAAATGAAACGTTAATTGATGAACTGATATCCTTTTCTAACCATCTTAATGAATGACACGGTGGTAGAGTTGGCGAAATAAAAAAAATCTAGTGCGGTGCACGCATCATACAACTTTCACTTACCACCCTCTTCTTAGCAGAAAAAAGTATTTTCAGGCAAAGGGGAAGTGAAAGTAAAAAATTATAAACGCTATATTAATTTAAATGTCATTGTGGGTATTTTTATTTTCATAAGTATCCATATATATACAAATTTTAATATTTATATCGCTGTAATCTATACAATTAAATATTAAATAATACCAACAATAGCATCTATGAAAACCGCATATCTATATTTACATAATATTGTCGGGGTCCTTATCATATTAAGTTCATGTTACGTATGGAAGCCTGTTCTAATCTTTTGGGCCAGCTCGGATGCGATCGTATTCCTTTAGTTCCTCATTACAACTATTCTCCGTTACAATTTCTTATTTATCCTTTAGTTAATTATCAAATTCTTTCATATTTTATATTTAACTATATTTTATATTAGAGATGAATGTGAAATGGTCAATAGTTTCAAATAAAAAAAAAATTAAAGGTACTTTAGAGAAAGCTAATAGCCATTTAAGCCCTGTTAGAGAACACCAATCAGGATAAAACCTACATTTTATTTAAAACTGCTTAATTTTACAGTGAATTAATGAATCTAATCTTCTAGTCACATCCTTCGGGTTTGGTGCCATTTTCTCATAATTTATCATATGTCTATTTTAGGCCAAAGGTCACCAAAAAAACACATTTTTTTTATCTCCTGTATGCTTGATTCAACGTTTCGGCTTCAGGAGCCATGTTCAAGAACCTGCAAAACTAATTTTAATTTATTTTTTACCATTCAGATACAGCCTCAGACACACATTATTTAACATCCACAAGTAATACATTTAGTTTAAAAAAATTTTTTTTTATATATATATTTTTTTTTTTTTAATTTTGAATAAACTTATATCATCCACCTACCAAGCACCGCGCCATAAAAATTTTTAAATTTATCATTGCGATATGATTCGTCCTAATTCATTCTTTTATTTCAAAGAATGTCGTTTTCCGTTTCTAAAAATTGTAATATATAATTAATAAATTAAAATAGATTGCTATAATTAATTTTAAAAAAGAATATTATTTAATTTATTATTTATTCATGATATTTACAACTGTATTAAAAACATTAAGTACATTAAGTAAATTTGATAACAGAAAATAATAACATGAAATGACTTGATGAGAAACTACCCACTGGTAGCACTCTATGAATATTATTAATTTTCGATTTATATACCTCTATTTGCAGACGGTATCAAGAAATTATTGTTCTTCAATAGGGCATTCATACAGGACTGGATTTACTTACATAAGTAAATGTAGGTAAATCTAATCCTGTATTTAAGGATGAATCTAATCCAAATCGTTAGAGTCATTTTCGAGAAAATCGTAAAAATGTGTAAAGTTCGTGATGTAAAGTGCCACTTTCGGTGAGTCGATTTTGAGGAAAAAGTTACTGGAACATCCAAGGATTATAAAAACCTCAAATACGCAATTTAACTGTCGTACGACTTTTCATTTTCAGCCAGACTGATAACATACTCACAGACCATTTTTTGAGACTTGGTTATTTGGATTCAGGGTACCTCAAAATGTGTATTTCCGTTGAAAACACAGATTCCAAAATTTTCACGGATGCAATACTTTCCCTTATTATATTACATATACATATAAGTGGAAGTAAAAAACTAATTAAACTTCAAAAATGGATCATTTACTACGAATAAAATCAATTTTCAGCGTTGGAGCAATTTTTACTTAAAGTGAAAATGCAAAAAATATAATCTCATAAATATCTCCGAAACTCTCCATTTTATCAAAAAAATGTATAAAGTCATTTCTATAGAAATTTTAAAGTACTTTAATATTGTACTGAAAAAAAAGCTATCTAGTTAAATTCTTCTTTTCTTCTTTTTGCTGGGAAGCTGTATGATATTCTCTGTTTTTAGAAATGATAACTTCCAAATATACAACAATTAATTTATTTGTTGAATTTACATGGTAAATAAGAATGGATTCCTTCATGTTATGATATGTTACATTATTTCATTTCGTTACTATTTTGTCTTTTTTTTCACTGACTAATATTCTATGCGAATTATTCGCTCACGGGTTAATTATTATATAATATTTATAACTTATTTACATAAATATATTTCAATATACAAATGTATTGACATGATTTCAAAAATATAATCATATAACATAATACATAGCAGTATTAATTAATATATCTAACAAAAGTACGTTGTATATCTTTTGATCAGGTATTACAGCAGAGTGATTTCTTACCAAACAGGTTTATTTATTTA